TAATAGCCAGACTTGCAATGAGGTCAGACATTTAAGGGCAATTGAGCCATAGCGACCATACATATCTATATCATATATGTACTATGTAGGTGTATATATGTTCACATAAATGTTTGATGCATGCACCAAGTCATATAATTCCCATTAACCCTCATGTGGTCAATAATACATAAAAGCAATTTATTTGCCACAAACTCATATAGTTTAATTATTTTATTGAATATAAGTCAAAAATATATCCAGATATATTAAATACCATATATATTGAGCTCAGAGTCATCTTACCGGAAGATATGAACTTGTTCCTTTTTTTTATAATATCCAAAATTAATATCTGGTTAACGAAAGATATAACCATAACAGTTATATAAGTATTAATAACTTTTCTACATTTTCCCTCAAAGGGTTATAGTCAATACATGCATAATTTAAATGCGCATGCTAGAGCATAAGAGTCCAATTATGTCCATATACAAGTATATAGTGCAAATATTGTATTTTGGATTACGTATAACCTATTAAAAATGCAGTAGCGCGCTTTTGAGCCACAAATATATGACAGTACAATTTTATGATGGAATTCAATCTGTCGGACACTTAAAAGACCAATAACGAGATATTTTTTTTTAACGAAACAACACTTTAAAATTCGCCATTCACTTAAAATAAAGACAGGCTACTACATTAACTCTAAATTAAGCGTTACAGTATAGCAAGTAGGTGATTATATTTCATGGTCGCGATCAAGGCTTTATTCGCAATACTGTTTGAGTTATGGCTCTATAAAGAGACAAACTAGAAAGATAGTGAATATAAAGATGTATTGGTTTGTTTACTAATATTTTGATTTTTTATAAAGGAAAGAATATGGCTTTTGATTTAAAATAACAAGATATTAGTACATACATATTAGTACATGGGTTAGTTAACCCATCCGTTCTAGTCATCCATGAACTATATAATAGCTATGTTCATATCACTATTTCTCTACCCGCTTTATTTGAACGCTCGCTCTACTCCTGTCAAAAATTTTGCAAGTGAGAGTAACAACGAATTATCGTGTTGACACAAGAGAATATGCGAATATATCATTAAAATGATATAACCGGTTGTAGAACAACGCTACCAAGTTCTGTTTAACAGGTTTTAGGCCAGATTTACTATTGTGAATAGCTCAAAATGCCAACCAAAACAAACGTTATTTATATATTTTTATATAGTTTTTATAATTATTTATAAAAAACGAAACTAAAAAAAAGAAAAATTTCTTTACCAAAAAAGAAACAAAACACAACTACGCATGCGTCAGAGAACATGTTAGCGCAGAGCTACACCTCAGTGATGCTCGCTTTTTAAAAACTAGTAATATATCAACAAAAAAAATGCATTGAAAAGTTGATGTTGAAATAAATTTTCAGACCTTAACAAAACATAAAAACGTTGGCGTATTAAAAGCCTAAAATCATTAACATAAATTTGGCCAATACGAAATACAAGTTAAAATCATACATAGACTAGTTTAGGCTAGATTAGATCGTAGGGTTAATCCCAAATTGTTAAATACCACTTAGACAGATATTCGTTCTTTGTGTTATCCATAAACTCCTTAAAGTGGATCATCAGATCATCATAGAACGACGAAGCATTTTAAGCTTGCATAAACTTAATAAGGCGGTTAATATTAATTCCAGCCAAATCCAGAAGGATCTTGCAGTCTCACAAGTTCTGGTTGTTGACCAGCGATTGCTGAGCTCACTGAAGGTCCATAGGACCAGAACGTAAGAAAACATCGCTTCCAATCGGTTGAAATTGGGGAAAGACCTCATCGGGTTTGCAGTTTTCGGCGATTTCGCTATGAACGGGCGCCCATACGTATCTAATATGAAAAAAGCTTATGGCTTCAAGCTAATGAAATCGTGCACTCCTTGACTAGTTTTGAGTAGTCAGCAATGCAGTGATATTGATTCTTAGGAACGCAATCGGAATGGGGAATGGAGAATTTCATTGTGTCGCTCCCCATGTACTCAGCTTCTCTAACTCTAATAGCAGCCTTCGCCGCCAAGCACCTATCAGATATGTCTACGGATGCAACATGCAGAACGACATTGAGTGTTATTGTTGGAGTTGTCCTTAATGCACCACAGATGTCGATTAGGGTCGCACATCATTTTGTTATGTTGATAACTTGTATCGCGTCTAATATTTTAAAAACTATCCAGAGTAGGTGCTTAGAGGTGCATTTATCTTTAGAGATTGGCTTCTGTGACCTGATTTTCTACTACGGAACGAAACTTGATAAATATGTATCAATTATTTTAAAAACTTTCAGTTTTTTATATGAAAAAGAGAGTTGGCTGTTGGCTGATAACATAATTAACAACTTATGAATTTCACCCCAGCGTGCTCATAAGTTGGTTTAATACACTGCTTATAAGTATACTCACATATGTATATACATATATTTTATATAAGTAAACATATGTATTTATATATTTTAAAAATAATATTTCACAAATTTCAATTGCATGACTGACTTTCCTGCTCCATTAACCATTACTATTAATTTATTGCGAAACTCAATTCAATTAAACAAAAACAAAAACAAATGCAAAAGAAATAATGCCATAATTCAATTTTCATTTTAAAAGCACAAAGCAGCCATTACACGCCGCGCCCAAGAATGTTGTGCATTTCCTTGAACAAATGCGCTGAGATATGCGTAATATGCAGCCGTTGTAATTACAAACATGATAACAATTCTAATAAAACTGTCAAAGAAAAAATATATACACGAACACATACATACATATATGGTATATATTTATAGTACACATACAACAGACAAGCGTATAAACAACTTTTGCTGATAGCCGCACTTGTAGGCAAAAACGCGACTACATTGTACAGCTGAACATTCGCGCCAACTTGTTTTGCTACCAATTGCTTACACATACACATGTAAGTATGTACGAATATATATGTTATTATATGCATAGCTGATCGTAATACCAATAACTTAACGCTGGCGGCAAGCAATTTGCAACGCATTACAGCTTACCGTTGCTCGACTCGCCCGCCAACTCGCTGACACACTGACTGCCTGGTTAAGCGCAACGACGTTAAACCGCTTGGGTGCTGTGCTGCGCGGCAAGCCAAGCCCAAAAGTCCAGCGCGGCACTGTTTAAGATCACCAGCACGCCAGCGCGCTCACGTTCGTTTGCCATAAATCTCGCGCCCAGCAACCGACACCATGTGCGCGTGACAGCATGTCAACACTACGCAGGCGCTCCGCTTCCGCTGCATTGTCTTCCATCCTTTTTCTGTCATTGCTTTTTCTACAGTAGCCAAAGAATGCGAATGCATGCGTAAACGCTGAGTATTTCAATGGCGCTACAAAATTGTTGCATACGCAATGTCATATGTTGCTGCTGCAACGGTCAAGTTCAAGTGCACGCAGCGCCCGCCGTTTTTTACGCGTTTTCGAAACACACAGCAAATACCAAAACAACGCCTTGACAAATTGGCGGCAAATATTCAAAATTTGAAGTTCAATGTGCAAGCGGCAGTTACACACTATAAATATAAATTTGTATACATATGTATATAATATATATTATATGGTAGGCGCACTTGTAGTTGCGTGCAAGCTGGTCGGTCATTGTCACGCGCTCGACGTATATGCGTTCGATCAACCTAAATAACAATTGTATGGCATTACAGTTAGCGTTCAAGATTCGTCTAACTGCCAGAGATTTGGCATAATGTGTGCCTGCCTACTCGTTGGAGGTCAGCACAGCTGCGCGACAGGTTTGCACGCAGTTTTGGCATGAATGCAAAGACACATGCCGCGGGAGCGTCGCCACTCCGCCAGCAGCTCCGCCTTGCGATCTGTGGCAATTCGCGTGTAAGTTGTGTGCGTTTTGTACGCAATGTGTTGGCGAACTTGGTGCGAGCCACTTGATTAACAAATGTGTGTCTGTGTGTGTGAGTGTTTTTATTTTCTTATTTGTGTTTTTTATCTCAAAAACGTTGGCGTTTTTACTGCCCAATGTGTTTGACCGTAAATACGAATATGTGGTTTTTATTTTTGTCTACGCCTGATTGCGTTTTGAAAATGCAATAGCGAGCTGTATTTATTTATTTTGGTAGCCACTTGTTGTTTCGCTGTTTGCTTAGCCATTTAAGCGATATTTTGTCGCTGACATTTTTTCAAATATTTAACTCTTTGTTATTGTAGCCAATGAGGTTTTACTTCCTTTCGGTATATTTGTATTTATGTCACTGTGTGCACCTGTATTTTAATGTTAATTTAATAGTAAATAAAAGGGTTTAAGAAAACCAACACACACATATATATGTTTTAACGTCATATTATACAATCGTTTTAGAGTTATAGGTTTTCAAGTGAGGCTATCTCTGCTATTAAGTTGATAATAGAAAAAAGTAAATTTCTTGCTTTGAAAAATTGTTGTTTTCTGAACCATTGATGCAAAGTAACGACTTGATAATTGTTGAACTGCCTCAACATATTCAACGGTCAAGTATTGCTTTGCTTATTTTCGTTATAACCGTTCCAACATAAATAATGCACCACGTTCGGAAAGACCACAAGAGGCAGTAATGCTATATGTCCGAAGCGGTCGGAATTATGGGTGAACAACTCTTGGTTCCTTCTTCACGATAATGCAAAATATTATACTGTCTTCGGTTCTTCGCGACTTGTTTGCCAACAACTCAACTCATATCGTTCCACAACCATGCGAATGCCTGTATTGGTTCGTGCAACTTTTGACTATTCAGCAAGCTCAATAAGCCAATGCGAGGACGTGATTCTTCTAGTTTTAAGGAATAAAAAATTAAATATGTTTTTAGCAAAGTGCGCATTTTTCTGATTTTGAACTTCTAGAAGCCTGTGCAATGGGATAAAAAAAATATTTTTCCGAACAACTAATAATTATCACTGTAGAATATATAGACCAAGAATAAAAAATAACAATATATATATTTTTTCAAAAAACTATATGTATAAATTTATTTTGATAACAATTCCAATTGACAGTAATAGTTTAGGAAAGAAGTGTTGAATAAGAAATAATAAAAGTGGCAGTGACAAGCAAGATTATGCAATGAGCATTTGACTTAGATAATTATGCAATATCACAGTGCATTTATGGTAAAAAGAAATTTTAATTATTAGTAAAATAGAAAGTGCAATTAAAGAGGTATAGAGTTGCAAGTGAGATAGAAAGAAATAAAAATAAATGCGTCAATTTTGTTTTCCAAAGTGTTTAATTAAACTAAAACTATTTCGTTTTTTATCATTTCATTGTATGTACATATGTGTATGTATTTGTAAACATGTTGCAGGTATACCAGTTAAATTGACTATGGCCAGATTGTGGATGTATGTGTATTTATAGTGTATAAAATAGGTGCGTATATTCCCATTCGAAACGCAATTTTACTCATAACTATCGGTTAAATAATTATTTAGATAGTGCCTGGAGCTGGTTGCAAGTTCACCGATGCTGCCGATTGTAGGTGACCGGGCAGTGGTGCCACATGTATAGCGCCACGGGTCTTGGCCACATAGGTACCTTCAGCGGCTACCACAGCGGGGGCAGCTACAACAGCGGGAGCAGCCACAACAGGACTGGTGATGATCTGTACTGGTGATGGGGCAGCTAAAACTGTTGGCACGGCGGCAGCATGTACGGCAACGGAACCAACTGGTGAGGCTAAAACGGCGCCATTGATTGAGCTAATGAATGGTATGACCGAACAGTGGGCAGCGCCAAGGGCCAAAGCGAACAAGACTATGGAAACGGCGAACTAGAAAGTGAGATGAAATAAGAATATTTGAAATTTGTATGTATAGCAATTTTTGAAATAACGATAGCTCTATATAATATCTCCTCAAATTTTGATGTAAATTGTTTTCGGTTTTTTTTTTTTAGTTTGCATATAATTGATGAGTTTAAGCTCTTGCCATCTGAAATCTTTAACGGAGCAGGATTCAAATTCATATTTTAACTATATGTTATTAATTTCTTAAAAATTTCGACAAATTTATGAAATATGATAATTTTTATTGCACTTTCTATCACAGATTCAGTTTTTGTTGTCCAATAAATCTTTCTTTTTTAGCACCATTATTAAATAAATACAATAAAAACTTCACAGAAGCACTCAAAATTATTTTATGTTAATATTTTTTTTATTCGCGATCGTTCTTGATTTAAGTATATCCTTTTTTTTGCCCACCTTCATGTTGCTTTTTTTATTGGGTTTTGTGATTGTTGGTTCAAATGAACTTTCTTAACAGCTCGAAGCTAGAAATCTTACTATGATCAATCTTGGCACTCCGGTGATCTTTTATACTTCTTGATTAGCATTTTGCCGCTGTTTCAGAAATGTTATACATTTTTCTTCCATGTCGCGCTGGAACTTACAATTTGCTATACATAAGTCATATGTACGTATAAAGTTTGTCAATATGCGGACATTTGTGCACTTAGCTATTATGTGAACTTGTACATTATACAATATAATGGACAATTTTTATAAAAAATAACGAGACACAAGAAAAAAAACCACATTTTAATCCAGTACCAGTTCTGCTTTTCAATGGCAAATTAATATCGAATCGATGGCAATGGCGACCGAACGTATAGAATCTACATAAATGGGTTACTGATAAATAGGTGACGCGGAAACTACCTTTATGTCGTCTTAAAGTAATAATGTCAAAATCTCGTCCACCAACGCCACATACGGCCAGACACATACAAGCACATATGTAAGAGTAAAGACACCGTGGAGGGTTAAACCCGCCGCTGGCGACAAAGCTGGTCAAAACTACGTCAAAGGCGACGCAACTTCGGGTTCGTCCACAGCTACACACATACCTATGTACATTTGTAGGTGTGTTATGCATATTTAATTCATGTGTGTGCTAGAGAATGCGGCCTGGTAGCTGGATGGGTGTTTAAATTATACTTAATTAGCTCAATATGTAGACTTGTACCTTTGCATAAGACTGCTTAGACTTACACGTGTGCATTCTGAAGCTTCAAACTATGTACTTACAGACATACAAATTATGTTTGCGTATATATGTACATACATACATATGTGTAGACGAAGTGCTATAATTACTATTATTTTTATTGCTCGCCTTACTATTCGATCTGCCAATTCTAAAAAGATCACTCCGTTTCATAAGCAGCGCCAACATACACGTAGCTAATCATATATATATATACACGTATGTACATATAAATAGGAATATGAATATGTTTATACTTATGTAATAATTCAAGTGCGGTGACAATTCGATACGCTTGTTGACAGCGGACACACAGGCGCACAGAGTGACAAAACATATATACCATACATATATTTATGTATATGTATATAGATATATATGTATTTATGGCTTGAGCATGTATGCAAGTGTTTGCGCAGACAGACGAACAAGCAAAGTACTTGACAACAAACAAGACAACGTCGACGCTATATTTCATATTTTCCTTTACGAAATTCAACATGTATTCGAATTGTCAATGTTAATGTTAACTGGCAGGCAACACTTTGACGTTGACGCTTTTGACAAATAAATCAAATCCATGTTCACTTTTTACATTGTCTTAAGGTATGGAAAGTTCTTTAATTCATCGGATGCTTTATTTATTATAAATTATTTATAATTTTGAAAATTAATCACTTTAGAAAAATAAACCTTTCAACTTTTTAAGTAATTGACTCCAGTTTAAAATGGATGACAACCATTTGTCACATGTAAGATTCAGAGAACTCAAACAAGACAAAGCGTTAACTTCGGCTGCACAGCAGCTATAATACCCTTCATATGCATTTCTGACAGCATAAAAGGGTATAAACAGATTTTTATCTTGAGTTTGATCGATCAGTTTGTATGGCAGCTATATGTTATAGTCGTCCAATCTGAGAAAATGTATTAGGATATTGTAGCGTTCTATTGGACAATAACTTGTGCTAAACTTCGTGACGATGTCTAGTCAAATAAAACAGTTTTTCATACCAGGACTTGAGTTTGATTGATCAGTTTGTAATACCTATACTCTAAAGACTCGATATCCTGGATTTTGACAAATGAGCAGCTTCTTGAGGAGAAAAGGACGTGTGCAAAATTTCAGAAGGATATCTCAAAAACTGAGGGACTAGTTTGCGTATATACAGATAGACGGACATGACTAAACCACTCAGCTGGGCACGCTGACCATTCATATATATACTTTACAGGGTATCCAACGTTTTCTTCTAGGTGTTACAAACTTCATAACAACTTTGGGCTTTGAAGTATACTTTTTGGAATATAATATCTTCTCTTCGTAGAAGTAGCCGAATTTTTAAGTGAGGTTCTACTCTCTCTATGTTAGTTATATATCATTACATATAATTCTGAAGACTTTTGCAAATATTTTTATATTAAGTATCACAACAAAACATTATATAAAGCAATTGGAATGCGGCAAATTAATGGTTGAACTTAACAGTATCGATAAATGCTTAACTCAAAGCAATACAATATGGTGACTACATATTATATTATATATGTATAATACATGTGTGGGCGTTTATTGGCATAAGTAATAATAAAAGTAAATTATAGTTTAATTTACCAGACACGCCCTCTCAGCATAAATTTTAAGAACAATTGTCTAAGTTTTCCGTCAGCAGACTTTCTCTGCTTTTTGAGCTCCATTTTCATTACTCACTACAAGTATACACAATAATGACTTCATATCCGGTTACAGATCAACTATTTTGAATACCCAAGATCAAAATATATTCTTATAGTTAAAAGTCATATATTTAAGCTTTTCTTTCACTAACACGAATATGCATCGTTGCGATGTCTGAACTGTAATTCTACAGAAATTAGAGAGTGCTGAATCGAACAAAGAAATTATATAACCCAAATAAGTCGGTATAATGATATAGTAATGAGGTATACATATGCTCTTTTGTATTGTTGCCTACTTGCCTACTTTCTAGATAAGAGGGCAGCGATCTCATAATAATTGATGGCGAATCAATGATAGCTTTCATAATTTATGTATGTAGTTGAAAATAATTATTGTGGCAAAGCCCTTTTACTGGCTATAGTCAATTGATCAATGGTAGATCATAAATTGTATTAGAAATAAGCTACTCAAGATTAGTATGTACCAGCAAATTTTCTAAGGATCAATAAATTTCAAGACAAAGTGAAGAGCATGTTGTGTTGAGCTTTTGGTACATCGAACTGAGCAAAGACGAATATTTCGGTATTGTGGACATTTTCCATCGTGAATTTCAAACTATCGCGCTCAGGTGACTCAGATGGACTTGTTAGAAAATATTATAATCTTTTTAAAACGGACCTAACTATATATTTATTTCGAAGAATGTCTTATCTCAGAACTAAAACAGTAAGATAAGCACTAGAATAATTTGCTGAGATAAAGATTATTTCAAGCGCGTGATGAATTAAGATGATCTCTCTTTTTACAGTCAATATAACTCGGTATGTAATTCTTACATGCTAACAACATATTATTATGTTTTTGTTCGAAGTCTCAACATTTCGCTTTACAAGCAGACCCTGTCAAACTTTACATCTGAGCAACATTTCAAAATTTTTATACTTCAAATTTCTTTCATAGTTTCGAAAACAAAAGTACGCGCTAAATCTATTGATAAGACAATTTTTTGTAATAAATAATATTTCTTTGTTTTTGTTCATATTTTTTATATATTTTCTCTCATAAATTAGCATAATTTGTTTCATACAAAGCAGCAACAAATTTGACGCGTTAGTGCTTTGTGGTGACAGTGAATTATACGTGCTATTGTCAGTAATTGCATATATTTATATGATTACACCAAATCTCAATGCTTATGTGGTAGCTAAATACAAGTGTGATTTTTGCTGTTGTAAACTAGCATAGGTCAAAACGTAAGGACGGAACGAGTATGGCGCGTTTAGTATTCAGTGAAAAACTTAAAGGAAAGCAGCGTTCACGGGTGCGTAAATCTACTTGCTCATACACACACTCACACAGCCACACGCTTAGCGAACTATAAAGGATACAGACAGGCATTTTCATTGAAACTGCTATAAGCAACCTTAGTGAATTCAATAATTTCTCTTGGCAGTTTTAGTGAAAATATCCTTTAAACAAATACAACACACGCATATACGCATACACGCAAGCAAAATGCCTAAAAAAAAGCGCATAACGTTAATAAGTTTCTCTGAAAATCCACGTTTGTCTCGCATACAGCCACGCACCAAAGGATGGCGCGGTGTAAGCTTGCTGCTAGAACCAACTACTAAGAACTGGTGGGAGGATCCCGACGTTGTTGTGGCGTGAGTATTATATGCATTAGCATTTTAACTTTTTTCGCTTTGTTATTGCTTCAATTTTGCTTTGTTAACTACGCTAATTTGCCCCCTACTGCGGCGTCTTAGCTTTTCGCGCCATGCGTGACAAAAAGCGCGTATCATTGAAATTTTGGTGTGCCAATATTGACTGGATATGGTGATTGGTTTCATGCGACTTCTATGTGACGAAGTGGATTTAGTAGACGGTAATATGTATGTTTGACTTGCCCTTTCTCCTACTCAGAGGCGTTTAATGTAAATCAATCATAGGCATAAATTGCCTACAATTTTTCTGGGTATTAAATTAGAGCGTAAATGCCGAATTTTATTTGTACCTTATTGCTTTATTTTATTACGCGGGAGCGTTATTCCACCGTAATTAGAAAGAAAAAATACACCTAAAGACGATATATCCCTGCAGGAAAATTTATGGGTTGAGAGCTAGTTTGAATCTTCGAAATTCGCAGCAGACACGCTTTTTATACTTTGAATAGGGTATACTACGTTTGCTTGTTATACCCATATCTGCGTCGATTTAGTCATGTCCATCTGTCTATCTGTATATACGCGAACTAGTCCCTCAGTTTTTCAGATACCGATCTGAAGTTATGCACATGTGCTGTTCTCCCGAAGAAAATACTCATTTGTCGGAACCGCCGATATCGGACCACTACTGTTTTATTTGACAATATATCTTCACGAAATTTTACATTGATTATTGTCTAAATATGGAATATGCTTCAGATTCAATCACTATTGCTATAGCTGCTATACCAAGTGGCCGATCAAAATCTAGATATATAAATATTTTTATACGCTTTTACACCTAAGGAATGCAAATATGTAGGGCATTGTAGCTTCAGTATAGTTGAAGTCCATGTTTTTTCTAATTTTTTATTGGGAACTCCTTGAAATATTCGTTCCAAAAGTTAATTTTCCATTCTCCCTCTGAGTATGCATCTTATATTATTCTGAACTATTATGAAGGAACTCAAAAGTATGGAATTCGATCTAGAACGAGGTAAAACGAGTATAATATCTAACAGTCGTGACTAATGAGGGCGAAATGGCGATAGGTTAATGCGCCTTTTCCACGACAGTCAGGTCCATGTAACCAGAACAAAGCTGGACTTATATTCAAAGGACTGTCAACTCGAGAAAAAATTTGGGAATGTTTTTTGCATCGACACCAACAATATAGGTTGAAGCATAATTATAAATACTACTCACAACTGCAAGGCCCCAGATACCTGCAGCTTTAATTTTTCCTCTGTACTATTTAAGATTAGTGGACTGTATTTGTTCTTACATGTTTCTTATCTTATCTTATTTCATATCCTTAGTATGTAGAATAATAAAAACTAAATCTATTGCTGCGCATCGCCTAAGTGGGGCCCTTTTGGTCACAACGCACATGTTCATTTTTTAACAGCACCGTTGAAGCAGGAAGCTACAGGATACCCCTATAGTTTCGCCTTAACCACAATTTACATTACTTACAGGACATTGAACGCATATAACCACCGAATTGACACCGATCGGTCAAAAGTGTACTAGCTCTAACCATGAATTACTCTCATTGGTTTATTTTTTCGACAGCCACTGTCAACGCATATGCAAACAAACCATTTTCTTACTATATATAAATACATACATATGTATGTATGCCTTTGTGTTCTTACTAAACCAGTTTCTTTTATTTATTTTACTTTCCACACCGAGCGGTTCGCCCACATTTGTGGTGTCATAAATTGTATAAAATAAACTTTAGCCTAGCCATAAATTTGATCGCCGCTTACAATAGGAATTTCGCTGCAAAAAACTCCGTACATATAAAAAAAACTTGAGCTAAAAATGGAATTTCCTTTATCACCAGCCAAGCGAATTTCGCAACATAAATTTGTTATATTCTATGAAGTTTTCGCAGCGCGCTAGTGTTTACTTTTTATTTGTTGCGCCACTCAACAATGTACGAGTATAATCAACTCGTAGTCGCATTATCTTTGGTACGCGCCCCACCCAAGGCTGCCTGGCCAAATGATTGGGAGTTATGTTGTGGCCGCAAACTTTACACAAACAAAACAGTAAATGCGAGCGCATGTATGAGCATACATATATCTGGCCAGTTTGTGGCAGCTTGATGTAAAATCTGTTGAAAATTGCATCATAATCAAAGCAGCTGGCGGCCAGGCAATGGACACACTTTGTCAGCGTTTGGCTGTTGGTTTTGTCGTACTCGCGCGCAGTTCGCTGGCACAGTCATTAGAAGTCACTAATTTGGCGATGGATTGATCGTACGAAATTCAATAAATTTCATTAAGTATTTCAACGATCAAGTGCAGGTGCTGGTAGGTAAATATATCAAATAGACCACTAAATGAAGTTTGTATATCATAAGTATGAAACATTTTGAAAAAATTTTAATATAGCCCAATTGTTGAAACTTGGATTCTGTCGATCTAAATAACGGTTGAACTAACTAACGAAAGAGAAATGTTTCAAAATTTGTTAAAATAGTCCCCCAAAAGTTTTTCTACTTTCCTAAGTTTATATTTTGTAATTCGTGCGATTTGTCTATTATACATAAAGATCAAAATTCCATTTATATATGAGTCTTGTGGGGGTAGTCGAGTACGTCTTGAACTTCGCAGAACAAACATCAGAAATTCACTGTTATACCATTATGTTATTTTATTGTATCTTGAACCGGGTATATTAGGTTTGCCACGATGTTTGTAACACCCAAAAAGAAACGTCAGAAACCTTATAAAGATCATTTATATATAGATCAGCGTATCGAGCTGAGTCAATTTAACCATGTCCGTCTGCCTGTCCGTCCGTCTAAATATATGCGACTTAGTCCCTCAGTTTTTGAGATATCAATCCGTTATTTTGCAGCCGTACTTTTCTAACCAAGAGCTGCTCATTTGTGGGAAGGGCCGATATCGGACCACTATAGCTTATATCTGCCATACAAACTGAACGATTGGAAACATTTTCCATTTGAGGAGATACTTTTCACAAAATCATAAAAGAACTTGATCTCCTCTCCCTCCAAAACTCCGTTTAATCCACACTGGAAAAATAATCAAAGACCGCATAAATTTCATTCAAGTTTTAATACCTAACACTAAATATTTCCCAATTTTCCAAGGCAGCTTCATTGTTTTAATGTTTTATAAAAGTAAGTACCTTTTTTCTGATTCTAGAGAGTTCAACACAACTGCTGGAAGTCCCCTAAAGACTTAACGGAAATTAAGTGCGCATTTCTGAAAATTTATTCAAAAAATAATGACTCTATACGAAATATTGCACAACCTATACACATATATTTTTACTTATTTTATGACACCAAGTACCTACTCTTGCAGGCCATAACTTTAAATCGAATCAAAGTTTAATGAGAACTGCAATTTTATTCCCTCTTCCCCCGCACCGAAAAATAGCATGCAAAACGCAGCTAAAACACGAGGAAATCAATTTGCATTTCAGTTCAAACTTTAATACCGCTTTTTTGATTTTTTTTCTTTTTTTTGTTTTTGATTTCCCTTGTGACCGACAACGCCCACCAAGTGCAATTGGTACGTGCTGGCATTTCGGCTGTCACACTTTCGTGTAGCTGCATGCCTAAGTGTGAGTGCAAGTGTGCGCTCGCACCCAAACATGCGGCGGCTAACACGCCCCGCGGCACGCCATGCCACACCACACCGTTTCACCCAGACGCGAACCGCACGGCGCTATTAGCCAGGCAACTTGCCGCATTCTGCTACACTGTTTAGCAACAACGTGTTGCAAGTTATACGTCGCTATGAACACTTTGCGGCAGCAAATAGCAATCAATGCTCGTATACCAGATACGTAAAACAGCGGTGGCATATAAAAGCAACACGACCACTCCAAAGGGTCATAAACAACTCGAACAAACAACGAACATTTAATTTACAGCTTTTCGCAAACTTTCACCTTAGGCGCCAACGACGACGGCAGGCAAAAGTTTTCGCCTTTCGCTTTCAATTGTCGACAAATTCTTGAAGTGTGTCGTGCCGTACAAACATTACGTACGTACATTTGCATATAGTTTTCGTATTTTTTTTTATTTTTATTTTTTATTTTTGCGAGGGTGTTAATTTAGCTAAAAATCACGTGTAGTCACGCCACGCGTCGACACTCGCGGCTCTCAACTTGCAATTCGCGACTACTGTGTGTCACTATTTATTTTGATTTCGATTGAGTACTGTGCATTCGATTTTGATCAGAGTAAATATTTAGTTGTGGGAGGGTATTAAAATGGAAAGCAGGAAATTTTGGCAAATGACTTCTTAATTGGTTGCTATGAAAAACATTCGATTAGAGAGTTATTTTGAGATCTAAAGTAAGGTTCGGTAAGAATTTGATATAAGTGGCACCTCACCATAGATAACTACGCATTTAAGACATAATATTTATGTATTATGTATTTGTAAAAAAAAAAGTATATACTACAAGAACAAAACCAAAATATCTCAGTGAAAAATTTGCCAAAGCATCACATGCGGGAAATGTTTTAAAAAACGATCATGGTATTTACAAACATAATTGCAGTTCAGTGACATCAAAAAAGCTACCAAATAGGCTTGGAGCATAGCCTCTAGTAAGCTTTATGTACATATATACCATAATATGTTGGAAGTCCTATCAATAGTTAGTTTAAGAAGAACAAAAATGCGATTTATTTCTCCACATAGCCTTTAAGCTCAATACACTTGCCTTGGCAATGCTTCAACTTCTTTAATAGGTCTGAAAAATACGTTTTCCGCAGGCCTCCTTGCCAGCGATAACTTCCTCCTTCGTTAAATTTTTACTATAAATTTTTTAATTGAAAAAAAAATTAAGTCGCCAAATCTGAGTGAAGATAGATGGCTCAGCAATTATGTGCATAATTCAACAAATTTCGCCGTGGCGACAGCGCAAGTGTGTCCAGTGCCTTGTAATGCCAGAAGACCACTTTTTTCTTCACCAAATAGGTACATTTTTCTGCAATTATGCTTCTCCAGATAGTCGATGCGATGTACTTCGTATTAATCCCAGAACGGTCCCCAAACGATAATCATCACCTTGCTAGTAGCTAGGAAATTCTTCGCCTTCTTCGGAGCAGGTTCGTCAGCTAAAATCCACTCTTTTGACTGTTTCATGGTGTGTCCATGCGAATACATTTTCGGTAATGGTCATGAAATGACGCAGAAATAACTTTCAATTGCACTTAAACTGCGTAAAACACTGATGTGTAGTGGTCTAAAGGTTCCACTTGTTGTCCGGATTGAGCAAATGCGACACCCATCGCTCCGACAGGGGGCTTTTAAAATGCCTGCTGTCTCAGCTCTAGCAAGCAATCGATGGTCTGCCAATCTGTCAACCTGTGCGACTTTTAAAAAGTAAAATATCTATTTTACCTTAGTTATAAGCGTTGGTCAGCAACTAGCACTTGTAGGGTTGCGAAATTTTTCTGGTCTCTAGTGAAACGTAAAAGGACCATTGAATTACTAACTCTTAGTAAGACTCACACCACCTCAATGATGTCCCATTGACACACACGCGGCAAGGGCTAAGGATTTTTGAGGACGCAACTTGTCAAATTTGCAATGAGAAAGATGAGGTGGAAACATCTAGACACTTTCTCCTTCATTGTGCAGCTTTTGCCAGACTTAGGTTGAAACAGCTCGGTTGCCATACTTTTTACGAGCCGGCAAATTGGCTGGAATTGAGATTAGCCTCCGCAATAAATTTGTGGTAGGCGCTAATCGTGTTATCGATATGCGACGTTCTTTTTTTATCGATATCTTAAAGTTGTGGGCATCACAATGGACAAGAGTCTTTAGCTGTCCAAGTGGGATTACTCGTAATCTCACGAGAAATCAGCCCATTTACCTAACCTAGCCTAACCTACCTTTGTTACTTGTATATGCGTAACCTTAAATATACATATATTGAAGACTATCCTTGATATATTAAGCTTAAATCTTTCACAGCAAGTTTGAATTATTATAAAAATCTATAAATATGTACATATAAAGCTATGCGTGTGAGCTCATTGAAAATAACTGTGTCGATTGGATTTCTATACACACAATTTCCTGCTGCCACGCAACTGTTAACTGTTGCGTAGCACCCACCCACTCCACTACGTATTGATAACTCCCGGGTTTGGGTGAAACTAAGTATGAGCGTAAGTGCTACAAAGTGGCGTGCTGGGACATGCATCAAGGTGTTGCTGTCAAGGTGTCAAAACAATGAAAACGACAACAGTTTCAAAAGTAGATGTGCGCAGACAAGTTGTGAGGATCGAGAGTAGCGAAAAGTGAAAAGCGCCGGTGATAGACTTGAGGCCGCCACACAATTGCTGCAACGCGGTACAAAGCTTAGCGCAAAAAGGCATAGGCAGCCTGTGGCGTATGAGTATGTGTGCGTATGAGTGTGTAGAATACGAATCGTATTTTCTGCTCAATTCAAGTTGCAATTACAAAGTTATATTTAAATGGGAATCGAAATTAAACTTGCTTGGTAGTGCCAATCAAAATTGTAAATAAACTAAGTGCAGCGGCAACAAAAAAAAAAAAAAGTGAGCAATTGCAGAGTGTAACGGCGCGCAATTTGAACGAAAATAGAATTTTGTGTTTTCACCTTCAAGCCAATGCCTCAAATAAGTGGAAACAGACACCTGACTTCGCAGTACTCTTCACTCACAACAGTGCCGTCAGCAATGCAGCACACCAACAACAACAATAACAACAGCGCCAATAGCACCACCATCACAATGATGTTGGCAAATCGCATCACACACCCTGGTGAATGGTCAGTCGACGATGAGCACTTCTTCGAGACGAACACAATGAATGTGTGGCAAACGCTCGAATTTCTTTCCAGTTTAAATTTGCGTAAGCGCTATCATTATGAAGGTTACAGTGACAGCGAGAATATTATACGCACACTAACACCTTCATGGCGTCGCGACAGTTTCGCCGAGAAGGCCGTCACCAATAAGGAGGAGAGTGGTGCCACGGGTGATGGTAGCGGCAGTGGACGAAGCAAAATCACATTGGAAAATGTTGGCGGCCATTTCGGAGAACATAGCGCTGATGCTATGCGTCGAGATCAGCACGCAAGCAACAACAAAAGAAAAAGTACTCGCGCGAAGAGTGTAACAGCTGGTAAAGTGCGATTTGTGCGCAGCAAGTGTGGCAATGGCAAGCAGCAGAGACGTCGCACGAAATCTGAAACACTAGATCCAGAGTATGTTCTACTGCCGGCTGAATACAACGATTTGGTGAAGTGCAAGTATGAAAAGATAACAAAATTAATTATTAATTAATATATAAAACAAAATTAAAAAATAAATTTACAGCTTTTAAGTGAAATTAAATCCAACATTGAATGATAACGGACAACTGTTCTCTTCGATTCTGCAAACTTTTTTATTTTTTGCTTTTCAAAAGTTTCAAAATACAGTAATGCTAGTTTAGGCCTGATAACTGCACCCCAATACTATAAAAAGAGTATTTTATTTTCTAACGCATGTTAAAGTGAAATACGCTTAAGTTATATTATTTTATAGACAACAAAGGCTAACGTGTTGTTAAAAATTACTCATACGCACTGTCCTCTAAGCAACCGTCTTTATTACATTATTATATAATGTAATGCACATATAATATAGCATATATATTGCCTTTACGGTGTACCAAATACCAGTAAAGTATTTAATTGATTAAGCATTAGATCAAAAAAAGTTTTAAAAAAATAATATTTTTAACCAGTTAAATTATTCGCAGCTGCAATGATTGCGGCCTTCACTGTGTGTAAGGTTGCACCGAAGCTATAATAATTTTGAAAAATTAAAAAGATTCCTTACAAAATCTTAATTTGCATCGGTCAGTCCTTATATGCTATAGTGACTCGATCTGAACTATTTCTATTCTATTACTATAAATAAAACGGTTTTCCATGAAAGTACCTGATCCGATCTAAACAATTTCTTCGGAGCTTCTATTGCCTGAAACAATAATCCACGCCGAATTACGTGAAGTTATCTCGTCAAATGAAAAAACTCTTCATTCAAGCACTTGATTCCGATCGTACAGTTTGTATATGCTATAGTGGTCGGCAAATGAGCAGCTTCTTGGGGACAAAAAGGACGTGTGAAAATATTCAGGACAATATCTCAAAAACTAAGGGACTAGTTCGCGTATATACAAACAGACGGACTCAGTTGAAGCGCTGATCATTTATATATGTATATACTTTATAGACTTCTTTTTGGGTGCTATAAATATCGTGGCGAACTTAATATACCCTAATCAGGGTATGCTTAAAAATATTATTAATATGTAAAATAATTTCAAATTTTGTTAAAAAATAAGATGAAAATTGCATTTTTCATGCAATCGAAAAACCGAAAAGGCGTTGAACCGCAAAACATGTACAAACTAAGCAAAAATAAATGTAAGCGATAAGTTGCTTTGTCTTTGAGTTACAACTGTAACCAATTTGAAAACTGTAGTTTCTCGGAAACGGATTGCGCTAATTGAACTAACCGGATACATTTTAGATACCTATAGCTTAAAAAATATTTGAAATAATCATTTAAAATTTTAGTATTTTATTTTTAAAAGCAAAACAAAAAATTTAGATATGTTCGAAATTTGGCATCAGGTGTGCCCCTTAACGTAATCTGGAAACGTCTTCCGAGCAAAATTTTATTTAATGTCGCTTATCACACTGCACTCAATTCAACTGTAGAACATTAAAACATAAAACTAAAACTTGAAAGAATTTTTGAGTAAATTAGGAGAAACAAAAATTTATTAAAATGTGAAGCAATGCATTCATTCGCTTATCAATAAGCTCTTCTAAAAACATTTAACATTTTTAGAGTGTAAGCGAAAAGCTTTTTTATAGCTAGCGACCTTAAGCTAATACACCAACCATTTTGTTACACACACCAAAAAGCTCTCAACTAACAAATTTCTTTCACATTCGCATAGAAGCGCACAGCCATGAAAGCTTAAATATTAGAAAAGCTTCTCCGTTATAGAAATATATAAAAAAAAAGAAACAACGGTTTCAAATTACTTTTGCGTATGTAGACAGTCAAGAAGTGACAAAATGAACCGTTAGTTAATTGTTCGTTTAAATCCTCGAAAATCTAAAAGTAACTCCTCAAAACTTTATTTTTAAATTCTCCACCAAGTATTATTGTGGTAAAAGACAACCTCAGAGATGATTGCCTATATCATCGGTCTTGTTAAAGTAGGTAGACGCTTAAAGTCTTTGAAAATTCCCTTAATCCCTGCGTCAAGCATATGAAACCAAAATTCTATAAAAGTGCTTGACTTTAAGTAGCCAGTTCGAACACTAAATCACTTAATTACACTTCATGAAATGCCATTCCTCTACAACAAAAAAAAAGGTATCTTCAGGTTTTTTCTATAGCGTTACAATATTTACTCGTGTCGACAAGGTCAGAAGGTACCATGACGTACTTTTCTTGTAATTTTTTTCTACGCATGTCAATAGACAGAGGGGAATACTAAGATTAAAATTTAAGTTCTTATATAGGCACATATACATATTTGATATAAAAATTATTTGTATTCATTTTTGGTTCAGAAAATGTTAAAGTTGTAATTTCCAAATGCTGAATTCTTTTATATTGGAGAACACCTGCTCATGCTCATTTCACTATGCATGAAGCTTCTATTTTTCAAGCGCTGTTTGTCATTCATTTCAAAACTAAAAAATGAAAATGTATTTTTAAAAGCAATAAGCGTGCTTGCAATGGTATTACATTCCATTAAGAGTGTAAATTGAAAGTCAAAGCAACTTGTGAAACTAAATCTGCTTGCAATATTGCAAGTAGCTCAAGTCATGGAGTACTGATTGAAGGGTGAAAGTTCAATGACAATGAGAGTAAATATTATAATAGGAAAAAATATGGAAAAATGAGCAATAAAATAAAAATCAAACAACACGCCGCGAGGTGAGAATTCAATTTGAAAGAGTATTGATATAGTAAATAAATGTGATTATTTCAACAACAATGGGGAAATAAATGATTGCTTTGAAGTGTGAAAATATTATTATTTATTTTTCTAAAAATGAGATAACAATTTGAGAATTGTATAAAACTATATTAATATTAAATATATTATATATATGGATTTAAAAACAAAATTGTTAAGTTTGTTTCCAAATCAGTGTTAGAGATTTTCGCAATCGATCTAGGATAAACAGCTTATATGTAAATATGGCACATATCTCGGGACCCCACTATTCTTTAGAAATTAAAATTTTTCTGTATTGACTTATTGCCAGATAGACTTATTGACTTCCAAAGCAAATTTATATTTATTTTTTTCTACATTACAGCTGTGATAGGGACGACTGCTTTACTTGTTTAGTCAAGCATAAATAAATATTTGACTCAGCTTACTTCATTTCAATAGCGGTAGGATTTTCAAAGCATTTTCACATCACTGACTTCTCCGTCATAATCCAAAATATTTCCTTAGAAGGGCTATCCATTTTCGACTTCAATTGGTAAAATAATCGAAGGCAGCAACACTACAGCCTACATACTTTTATATTGAGCTTAAAAAAGTGAAAAAAAATTTTCTCAAAGAGGCATCAAAGATTTTCAAAATCCTTGAGATCACATGGTCAATGATAATTTTTTTACAGAGACTAGTAACAAAATTAATAAATAAATTCAATCAATTAAAATCACAATCGTAAACACAATTTTGTCTGTATCTAAAAATATTTCTATACCTAGAAACTATTCCTTAATTTGAAATTAAGAAGCTATCTAGACTTAATTTATTGATTCTCGACAGTTTTTTGAGCATATTTCAGGCACTAATTATAAAAACAGACATTTTTATTGGCACATACGCATATTCCAGCTCATAAATACATACTATATCCATATCCAATCGTTTTGATGTGGACATAATATTTATTCTCATATGCAAATTGCCACATACGCATGTTATTTTTATTAGTTGCTACACTCGCACACCAAACGCCCACTGACAGTTGTGGCAACCAGCATTTTGTTAGTGTTTTGGCTGTGTCGCTCCAACTAACTGGGAGTGTAGCGAAGAGATTTCATGCCACATCACAGTAAACAATATTTTTGCATACACTGCCACACGCGCCCTGCTCCTCTGCTTCATTCCAAGAACGAAAAAAGAATACACTGCCTGTTGGCGAAAAAAAAAGTAAATAAAAGGATATAATAACAAACACCAAAACAAAAGTAAACAACATAGAATGGAAATGAAATAAAATCCAACAGCATGTAAAATTCTTGCATGAAGGATTTGCAGAATGTGCAGAGGAGAGCAGTACGTGTGTGGTATTTGTAGTTACTATTTTTGTACTATTGCAACATGTTGCTACAGAGTATAATAGTTTTGTTCACCTAACGGTTGTTTGTATCACCTAAAACTAATAGAGATAGATATTTATTGGTATGTAATGATCAGGATGACAAGACGAGTTGAGTTCCAAGTGACTTTCTGTCCGTTCGTCCGTCCATGTGTCTGTGTATCTGTGCGAGCTGTAACTTGAATAAAAATTTAAATATCGCAATGAAACTGGGTACACGTGTTCCTTAGCTAAACAAGTTAGACGAGTTCGTAGATTGGCGTAATCGGCCCCTGCTACGCCCACAATACGACATTAATCGAAAACCTATAAAGTGTCTAAAAACTTTGCGTATGTCCGCTCTCTAAGAGGTTTAATGTACATATCTTCTAAACCAATATAGCTATAATAAAATACTTCATTCAGTATAAATCGCTTAAGCACCACTACTGACACTGTAAACATGGATGAAATCGAATGATAACCCCGCCCGCCCACATATAACTAACATATAAAAATGAAGTACTAAAAAATAAATCTGAAAAAAAAGCCAGAGACATGAAGTTGTACATTCAAAATGGTACGATAGGACTTTATAGAAGCCGGGGTCAAAATTAGACGATGGGCTTGGCACCGCCTACATTTAGGTGGAAACCCATATCTGGGGACCGCTTCCAACGATTTTAAACAAATTCGGTAGGTGGCATTATTCTGACATTTTAAGGCCGCAGTGTGGGGCGATATCGGACTACAACCACGCCTACTTCCCAGCATACAAATTAAGCACCAATGAATGTATCGGGATAAAACTTTGCATGAATACTGACTTTGAAGTGTGCCAGTTTATGATCAAAAATTATCTAAATCAAAACAAAACTGTTCAAGCCCCTTTGTACTGAATATAACATATGGACCCTAATTCCTATTGCAAACTTTTTATCGAAAATATCTGTCAATCTATG